TGTGTTGCTAACTAGCTTATGGACTATGGACATATTTTCTTGCGTTTGAATGAGCCAGCAGGGAAAAAAAGTGAAAGAGCGAAGAGAAAAGAGTAAAGGACAAGAGGAGGAGAGATGATAAGGAGAGTTAGAAGTATGCTATTCTATCATTTAAGTTTTGAGTAGCACATTTATTTGGCATTGTAGGGCTTCCTTGACTTACGGAGATTATGGAGGGATTTCAGCTAATTACTAGCATTACTATTCTTAAGGCTGCAGTAGGTATCTTTTTTATAGAAGTAACTTTCAGTCGTATTTACTAAAACCTTCACTATGTCCTGACAGTAGAACATGATACAGATAATCTGTGAAAGAATCAGGTTCCTCTGGCTCCTAATGGCATTTGGAAAAATCCGGATGAAAACAATCAGAGCCAAGAAAGATACTTGATTGTTGAGTCTCATTCCCAGGTCATCATATACTGACTCAACAATCAACTATCTTCAACCCATCAGGAACCTGATTCTTTCACAAATTATCTGTCTCATGTACTACTGTCAGGATATAGTAAAAGTTTCAGACAATATTACAAAAAGTTACTTTTATAAAAAAGATACCTACTGCAGCCTTAAGATTAGTAATGCTCTTTAAGCCAAAGTTTAAGTGGTAACAATTTTGCCTCTTTTTTATGTGGTAGGAGTGCAAAGTTGTCATCCTCAACATTTGATGTAGACAGTTGCTCTACAGGAGGATTATCCTCCTGGGAAACTATCATGTTTTATAGTATCCATGCGGTGTGTGTCTGCTTTCACCTCCTTCTTGCAGGTCCTGCAGAGGCCAGAGCACGGAGTAAGCCAGCTGGCCCTTTACGTAGAAGAAGGGAGCCATCCCACAGCTGGGCTGGTCAGAGTGCTGCACCTGGGAGCCAAACTCATCCATGACGTACCACACCGGAACCTTCTCTTCCGCAGACTGCACAAGAAAGGAGGAGAAGAGTGAAGATGAGGACAGAGAGATGGCTGAGACTACATCCACACTGTTGTGTTTACAACTGCTAAATTTAGCGGATACTTTTGTCCAAAGTGACTTACATACAAGTGTACAACCTCCATAGGAACAAGAGCGCCGATGCACTAAACTGTGTTGCCATGTTTTCAAAGTCTACAGTTATGAGGTGCAAGTGGAAGCAGAAAACTGTTTTAGAAAATCACAGACATGGATCACACATATCTGCTCGCCAATGTTAAAGGTCCAATAGTCTTGGTTTGAAATCCTAACGGCCATCTGATTGGTCAGGTCAGGTCAGGTCCTCAGATATGTCGAAACTAGCAACCCACTCCACCTCATCCCTGTTGATGCACATTCCGGTGGGGTGTTTTTTTTTGCTTTTTCTGAACTCAATCATGATTTCTTTTGGGGGTTTTTGTGTTGAGGTTGTTGTCTTTACACCACGCAGACAGTGTCTGTAGGCTGTTTACATTTTTAATTAAGGTATCGGAGCTGTGGGTGGAAGTGCAGTAATAGGTGAAAACAGAATAGAGCAGGCCGAAGACACAGCCCTGGGGGACGACAGCGTTGACAATGACAGTAGTCCAATTATCTTTCCCAGTGTATTTGCAAAATAATGTGTGCTGGGGTCTGTTGATTAGAAAGTCCTTGATCCAGAGACAGACAGGAGTTTCTAGACCTAAAGTGTGCAGTTTGTTGATCAGTCTGTTTGGGTTGTGTTACGTTGATTGTCGAGCTGTAGTCAACAAACAACATCCTGGTGGGTGAGGGCTGTGTGTAGCGCTAATGTCTGTGGATCATTCAGGCTTGTGACTGCTGAGGTCTTGGGTACAGGAATGATGGTGGTGGTTTTCAGACAGGACTGTGGCTTGTTGTAGTGACAGGTTTTCTATTTGATCTTATTCATTTTATTGTTTTTACTTCCTCTGTGCATATTTCCGTTGGCCTTATACTCATTTTATCTGCCTTGCCTTCTAACATTGTCAAGGAAGTTGCTATATAAATAAAGTTTATTATTATTTTTAATTATTATGTACAAAAGGGGCTTTAGGGACACACCATGGCAGCACCTCAACAGAAGGAGGTATGGCTTCAAGTCAGAATGAGAGATCATGTTTAACGCTGACGTACCCCCTGGGAGAGGTGATATGTCTGGTTGTACTTCCACATGCGCTCCATCACCAGCTCCACCACATCCGGGTCAGGGGCCTCACCGTGGAAATCAACCCCCATGAGGGTGGCCATTCTGGGTAGCAGGCCGGGTACCTGCTCCAGCTGCTGACGGGCGTGATCTACGCGGTACGTCCAGGCGTGATCCACCAGGAAAACACTGCAGGCAGCACAGGAGGAAAATCTATAACAATTATGGAGCTCCAGTGTTCAAAATTATTAATGAAAAAAATAAGAAAAATAATCGTTTTATATTACATTTTTATATTAATAGCATTTTACCCAACAACACTTTTCAGTGATGTAGTCAATGTTACCTTTCAGCCAATCACATGAACCTCATTATTTTCAGTGATGAAAGTTAATGATGAAACATTTCATAATAACAAATGAGTAGAGTTTTAATATTTTCTTCAATTTTTTTTATTCAAATTGTTGCTTGATTTATACATTCTACTCAATTTATAAATATGTTCATTTATTTCATAATGTCTTTTGTATTTATAGAATACTGAACATTATCAGAAGATTCTGCTAAATCTTTCTGTCAAGGGTTTGTTTGGGCCTCTGGCGCCCTCACCTGGTCGGCTCTGCTGCTTGCAGCCCGCTCTCCCGGGTCACAACCACTTTACAGCTGATCACTGCTCCAGGATTGTCTCTTTTTTTCTCCTCTTCCTCATTCTGTTCATTTTCCTCGTCGTTTTCTTCTTGGAACTGCATGATTCCGAAAACTTCACCAGCATCATAAATCTATGACACATAAAAAGCAAAAACAAAGCACGAGCCTATTTTCTAATGTTATCACCAGACTCCATTGGATAATTTGATAATTTAAAGTTTCCTTGCGTGTCATCTTTAGCACACAGCGCCAACAAGACTGCTTTAACGTGTTTAATAGATTATTAGAAACACCTTTCAGAACGGCAAAGATCAAATACCATAAGCAGCACTTGTTTAAAAAATCAAAGCTCCTTCCCCTCCAATTATCACAGTTCACATACAGAGCATGCATACACGAAAGTGGGCGTGTGAACAAACTGTAAAGCTCGAAATTTGATTGAAACTCACCTAAATTTTCATTGAAAACTGCCTAAATTGTATGCCGAATTTACCTCGGGAACATATACGTTTGGTACAGTTTTTGAGCCATGCTCTATCCCCTGTATGCATTTGCAAACAATGAAGAAAAATGAAACCAACCATTGTTTTTAGGCGAGTTTGGCATAAGCCCCTCTCTCGTGGCAGAACGCGACGAAGAGTACGAAGAGTTACATGCGATATTAGCAGACGTTACCGGTCTGTTAACATAAGCTACGGTCGTGTTTATTTCAAATAAAGGGGTTTTTCATTTTTCATAACTTGCTAATAGTCTCGTTTTAATACAAACCCACGTCTGTTCAGTAGAAAACACCGACGATAAAATGTTTATGTATTTTTCTGTCTCCACGACTGGCCTCTGACTCTATAGCACTGTAACATGTGTGACACCGCGCTTGGACAGTTAGCAGCAGACAGACCTCGCTGGTGATTTTGTGGTGGAGGCTCCTCCAGTAGATTGGGGGTATCCCTGAGGACTGCAGGGCCCCGGCGTGCAGGGCCACAAACACCGTGAACTCCTCGTCCCCGTCTCCATTTATCGTTATAGAGTTTGTTGACATTATTATGGCGAGACAGCGCTCACGTGGAGGCGGATTGATCAAAACCGGAAGAATGAGTTTGACAGCGCGGTGCATTGTGGGAAAGTGTTAAAGAGCTCCATTCACTCCTGAAGAAAACTCTTTTACCTCACCACATTTCAAACAGAAATACTTTTGCTCCACCACATTTGAATGATTACTGAGTAACTTTGTAGATTTAGCATTTACACTGCACACACTGCAAAACGAGTAATTTTTGTCCATCATTTGTCTTAAAATATTTATTATTTTTAATCCAGTGAGATGATTTCGACGTATTTGAATAAAAGTTAGCTGGTTTTATGAAATTTTGGAATAAGTTGGTATTATTCTTGATTCAAAAGCAGAAGCCCCTTATACACTGAATTCTAAAAAGTTTAAAAAAAAAAGTTGATTTCTGTCAGAAACAGATCTGAAATAATTTTACTAAATTGGCATTGTTTGACTTATTCTAAGAAAAAAAGACTTTTGAGAACAAATAACTTGTAATTACACCTAGTAAGATGGATTTTCAATGGTTAAAATCAGCTCCACATTGACCAGCTCACATTGAAATGCTGCTAAATTGTTAATGTATAGGTGGTAATAATATGATATACAGTATGAAAACACAATAAAGGGGTCTGTAATGCAGATAACTATTATACATAGTAAATGAACTGAAATGGATTGTTTTGTTAACTGCTGTTTCTATTGTCAAGAATCATTGACATATTATAGTACGATATTAGACAGAAAAAAAGGCAGTAGGCTTTAGATCCAGTTTTGCTTTTAAAAAAAGGCAGTAAATATGCACTCTTCTCCTTTTTTAATCTCTGAACCATGCAAATTATGATTTATTCTGAAATATATGAGATTAATAAATAGACACTAATACCAGACTCCTCTACCACACATCCAGAGGTTTTTATGTATGTGTGGTGTTCTGTGTGTAAAGTTAGAATAAAGCTACAATATAACAGACTTTTTCTGGATTATGGAGTGTACTCAAAACATACAATACAAACTAGATAAAATACAGTCAGTGGTGTAATACATTTCATTTTAATTCAAATAAATAAAACAATCAAGAGCTACATCCAAACTTAGCATTAAAATGTGAAATGTAAGAGGGTATGGACAAACTTTATAAATACACTCACAAAGCTTATTGCTGGCAAGCCTCGAACACAGCAAATGAAAAGTTAATTAAATAACATACAGAACATGTAGGAGTCAATAAACAAAGGTTAAATTCAATGAAACTCTTTGATAAAAAATCTTCATCATGTGCGTCATGAGCAGCTTACTGTATTTTCACTACAGTGTCCACTCCTGGCATCTCTAACGTACTACAAAGAAGTTTTTATCTGGTCGGATACCCATTGAAATCAATGAAACACTACCGCCTTTGTCCACAGGCGCCGCAGGAATCAACACAAAATGACAGCTCCTTGTAGGGCCTTTAAGCATGATTAGTTGTTATTAAGCACTATAATGTGCTTTAGATGCCTTCATAGTTATGTTTAGGCAGCTCAGGTCGCTTTCACACTTTGTGTTTTTTTCTCTGGACCTCATAAGTCATGAGTAATGACAAACAGGTAGAAAGATACAGGGTTTCTGCAGGGTTTAACAGGTTCAGTTTAAGACTTTGAGACATTTCTAAGAGTATTCAGAATGCAATTTAAGACCTATTTTGAGAAGGGATAAACTGATTATCAGCCTGGCCAATTATCGGATCCAATATGCCGTATTTTTCTGATTATTGGAATAGTTTTTTTTTTTTTCCATTTGCTGATACATAAATCAGATACCATTTTGTCCTTTCTGATAGCAATTCCAATAACTGAACTTTGCATATCGGCTGATACCAGTACCAATCTGATATAGCTGTGTTAAAAAATTCATTTTTAACATACCACTAAGCCTGCATGATTGTTATCATTGTTGAATGTCGCAGCTGGTAAAGGTGGAGCTAATTTTGATTACTTTACATTACTTAATCTATACTATTAGTAAACATAATTTACTAGTTGATCTATATTTTGCATTATTAATGTGAATCTGCAACTAGTAACTAAAGGTATAAAAACAAATGTAGTGGGGTAAAAGGCACAAATATTTGCCTCCAAAATGAAGTATAAAGTAGCACAAAATGGAAATACTCAAGTAAAGCGCAAGTACATCAAAGCTGCACTTGTACATAGTACTTGAGTGAATGTACTTATGAAGGTTAGGTTATTCTATATTTTGAGTTATTCTAAGATATTCCATTTTATTGCAAATGTATATCAGTGGTTTCCTTGATTACTAATAATCAGTATCTGTATCAAAAAATCAGTATTGGTTCCATCTTGGTTTCATTTTGTAGTTGTTACAGCATGATTAATATGAACCTTTCTCAAAAACACATTTCAAAGCGAGAATGACAAATAAAACTTAATGTAAGTAAAGTTAATCTAATCATTTTTAAAGACCTCTCAAAATCATATTTAAGTCATTTAGATAATTGGATTTTAGACTTTTTAAGACTCTGCAGTCTTACCGTATTATTCGTAGACAGGTCTGTGGTGTTAGGCCTGTATCAATTTTGCTCCAACAGTAGGTTAGTTAATGCAACTTAGATGGTTTCACAACAAAAAGTTTAGACATAAAGCTAGCCAACACTGAACTAAGAGTTGTGTTTCCATGGTAACAATCCGTGGCACCTGATAACCAGTGGCACCAAAAGACAAAAAAGAAGAAAACATGGCTCATAATTTTTTTTTTGGCTTTTTAACAATGTTGGGGAGCGAGTAATGAGAAAGGAATGTCGTTTTTAGAGATCTTGAGGAATTTTTCAACCCGTTGGAAACCTTGAACTTTTTTCTGCGCAAGAAAATGATCCTGAGCCTGACTGACCAGATAGCACAAGTTGTGAGCCCTGCCACATTAAGACGACATTTTATACTACTGTAAGTTTTTTTTTTTTTAGAAAGTCTTAATTACCCAGAATTCCTGACAAATGAGTCCAATTGAAGTTGATCTAAAGTCTGACTAGTTTAATCTAAGCCACAGTCAAAGTTTATCCTTGTGAAACCAGACCTTGTTCGAACTGATTTTCCCTTTCTGATTGCTTCTTTGATAGTTCACGATCAGGAGGCGTTTTAATAGATCACACATCTGCTATCACAAAATAATGTCTGTTCTGCTTTCACACCATAAACAAACCGCATCAGAGTCTGGGTGGAACCGCTGGAAGCCTGTTCGTTCTGTACCAGAGTTTGACAGACAGAACTCCACCACCACTAAACCAACCAAACTAAAGTGTGTTTGAACTGAAGCAAGCAGTTTACAGTAGATATGTGTAAAAGCACCCTTGGTACCAATTTAGAATTGCATCTGAATGAAGTTGGGCAAAAAACAATTTAAAAAAGAATGGTCAAAATCAATGCAGTAGTGTATGAGATAAGAAGTCTTTCACGCTTCAAAAATCCTGAATCCTACACTTCCCATGATGCAACCTGATAGCGTCTCTTAAACAGCACACTCACCAGTTGATACTAATAAATTGGTGAAATGCCTCTTGAGAAAATGGTCTTAGGTAAATATTTAAAAAGTCAACCCGGTGAACTGGTCTCCAGTCCAAGTCCTGTGCTTGGTGAGATCCACCACACACCTTATCACTCCGCGAATGGAAATGATATTATCTTTACACACAATTTCGTTACTTTCTCTTGTGGCTGTTTTCAGGCCTCAGGAAGTTGGTGTCACTTCCTAAAATCCACCACTGAGCCTCTCATGGACATTCTTTGAATATGGCTTCACCTTTACATCTTCAGGAAACATTCTTTGGCATTGCTCCACATTTGTATTCCCTGCAGGGAGAGAGAGGAAAGACTTTTATCATGAACATGGCCACTACAGTAATGTCCTGGACCATTCAGGCAGCTCATGTGTCGCTCTCTACCTTTTTGCACATGCTGATTTGCATGACGGCGTAGTTGATGAGCGCTTCCCGCAGATCTTTGTCTTTCTGCTCCTTGAACCGCTGCATGTCCACCAACGCCTTCTCCACATGCTCTCTGCAGTAGCACAGGTCAAATGAAGCACACACACACACAATTGGCGAAGACATTATCTATTAAGGATAGACCGATTGTCGGCCTGGCTGATTATCGAATCTGATATTCAGCATTTTTCAGATAATAAAAAACAGAATGATGGAATCATAATAATTTATTTATTTATATTTTGTTTATATTTTAATAATGTGAACCTGCAAAGTAACTACTAACTTAAGTTCTCAAATACTGTAGTGGATTATACAGTTCAATATTTGCCTCCAAAATGTAGTGGAGTAAAAGTATGAAGTAGCATAAAATGGAAATACTCAATTAAAGTATCTGAACATTGTACTTACTGCAGGCTGAACCAGTATTTGAGTAAGTGTACTTACAGTAAAACTGTTAATAATAGCCCATGCATTTATTTGCTTTAATCACTGAACTCCCCCTGCCTTTATTTGGGACAGGCGTCCATTTGGGACAGGTGTTTAATTCATTTAGCACAAAACTAAACTAAACTCTAACTGCTGCTTCTCTTGAGATTTTGTTCAGCAAATTTGACAACTAACAACTTGCTCAAGCGGGCGACCCGGTGGGTTTTAAGAGGTTTTATACATTGAGATCATTTCTATAAAATCCAGACCAGGCCTCTATTGGAGACCTGTGTTTATTTGTCAAAACGTGTAGCCACATCAGGCTTTTAAATGAGACCTGCGTCTATTAGGGGCCATGCTTTTATTGGAAGTTTTACGGTAGTTAAACTCAACCACCGGTTATTCAAGATTTGCACACTTGAATTTTACTGCAAATGTATATCGGTTCCAAATATCTGTTATCATTTTCCTTGATTACAAATAATCAATGTCTGTATTGGCCTTAGAAAAGACATTGGTCGATACAGGTCCTCTTTTTGAATTTCCCTCTGACCCCTCCACAAGTTTAAAGAGATCTTTTTCACACACACACACACACGTCTCATCAGTTTTTAACACAATTCTGACATGACTGTTCACAATGGTGTCACACTGCAAAAAAAATCAGGCCTGTATCTGATATGGACCACATATAAAAGGGACACAAATCAGAACTGAAAAGATCAGATTCCATGTGATTTATGCTGTTCACACTGTCATGAAAAAATCCAATCTGGGTCACTTTAGCCTGCAGTCTGAATGTGGCGATAGATGGGAGGGAATTTGCGAGCCTGTGAATTTGAAATATGATCAAAAGGGCCAAAAAGCACCTCAATTTAAAAAAACAATCTGGCTATCTTTTGATGTGTCAGGATTCAGAGGGCAGGACATGTGATCTTCTGCTAACCTTCCACACACAATGTGCAAGCATTAGGCAGTGTCTGTGACTCACTCGCACTCGACTGTTTTCTCCTTGACCGTCTCTTCACCCTCTACTATTAGCTCCTCCAGCAGCTTCAGTCTCGCCTCCCTCTGTTCGGGTGCCTCTTGGCCAAACAGCTTGTTCGTCATGCCTTTGAAGGAGAACGTCCGCACGATCTGAGGAAGGCGTGAACACGTGTAAGTTCGGAAGCTGTTGACGATCTAGAGTCCTCCTCATAGGTCTTACCTTGATTTGACATTACAGAGTTAGCCATCACTGCTCAAGAATAGTAACATGAGTATAGTGTACCCCTGTAGCCAGCTCCTCACGCTGCTGCTTCTTAGAGATGAGGTCCTGGGAGGCCATCTCAAGCTCAAACTGGGTCAGCTCATGTTTCCTGCACACCGCCCTGCCAAAGCAGAGTGCAAACATGATATCATTATCTGCTCTTATGCTCTAATACAGTGTTTGTTAGTTGTTTGTGAGTTGGTGGGCCGATGGTGATTTTGGGCCAGGCATAATTCCTTGGATGTAATGTAAGTTGAGAGAGTTTTCTATATGTTCCCTATGTGTTTATATGTGTTTATGGGAAGAGAGTGTTCATGAAATTTAGAGTACGTTATTCATTGTCAGTGGCAGTGTTAGGCAATAGCTCCAGTAGGTGTCAGTGTCGCTACGTGAGCAGTGTATTGCCCAGGGAGAGTCACAGGGAAGTCTCGCGTGACAAAGTGAGATAACGACAATCTCTGTGTACAAGATGGAAGCAGAAAAACGCTGTGTAGCGATTGTCAACCTAAAGTTATATTTTTGCATGTTGCAGGTAAACTGGGGATGCTACTGGCTAGGACAATGTTTACACTGTACTTCGTTAGCACTGTGTTAGGTTTTATAATTGTTATTAGCGACTGTATAAACTGTATGTGTAGGCCTGTCACGATAACAAA